AAGGTGGAGGAGCTGAGCAAGTCGAAGTCCGACCTGGAGGTCAAGGTTCGGGAGCTGTCGTCCGAGCTAGAGAAGGCTAAGAAGGATCTGGAATCAGCTACCGTTAAGGTGGATGGTTTGAGTGCTGAGAAGGAGTCCTTCTCAAAGTCCATAGCTGACAAGGATGCCCAGATTGAGACACTTCGAGCTAATTTTGAAGAGGCTAAGGCCGTGGTCATAAATGTCGCAACCGAAGCCTTCGACAATGCCGTTGCTCAAGCTCGGGTTCTGAATCTCGGTCTTATCACTGATGGGATGGACGTGGCATACAACGTAAAGGACAGCGTTATTGATCCCAGATCTCCTGATTCGGGCAGTGCCAATGGGGAGGAGACCAGTGCCGATATTCCAGTCACTTCTCCTCGTGCCGACGTCATGATGTAATTTTGATTACGGGGCCTTTGAGCCCCTTTTTTATTTTGTCAGAACTTAATTGCCGCTTTGGTTCGGCTTTACGACTTATTCTTTTAATGCTTTCATTTCTTTGAGATCGTTGGTTTATTTCTCGCTTACTTTTGATGTCCAAGGTTCGCTTTCGATCTCGTTTTATTCGACTTGCAATTCGCAGAGGTTTTTGCTTTCCGATCTAGGATTATCTTTTGTTCGTCAACAAAAAATTTTCCTTTAATTGATCGTGAAGCTCTTTGAGGCTTAAATTACTTGAATGGAAATCGTTATGCACGGATGACAGAAATTAAATGACTGGTCATTTTATTTGCATTTCAAATGAAATCTCTTTACAAGGTCGAGCTTAGAAGCTCGTTTTATTTGCTTTTAAATAAATCTACCTATTGACTGGGCTTAATAGCTCGTCTTATTTGCATAGAAGTAAATCTAACTATTGACTGGGCTTAATAGCTCGTCTTATTGTCTCGAACTTCGGACTAGAAGCCTAACTATAGTAGACCTTCAGCTTGTCCGCGTTCCAAGTCATCTTCACTGGTTTCTTGGAGATAGTTTCCAAGGTGTAGGATTCCTTTCCAAGATTATCCTTGATCTTATAGAGGCCTTCCCAGTTTGCGGCGAGCTTCCCATCTCTAGCATTCTTGTTGCCGATGTCGTATCTTCTTAAGACTAAGTCGCCGACCTGGAATGACCGAGGTCTGACCTTCTTATTGAATCTAGCAGTTATTAGACGCTTCGCCAGCATATTCTTGTATCTGGCATTCTCCCTGCATTCATCCAGCAGGTCGAGTTCCACAAGGAGTGCCTCCTTGTTTTGAGCTTTAGTTCCTTGTAACCTTTGTACCCTCCTCCAGGATGGTTCGCCGATCTCAACCAAGATCATGGCCTCGCACCCATATGTCAGTTTGAAGGGGGTTTCCTCTGTGGCAGATTGGGCGCTCGTCCTGTAACCCGACAAGACGAGGTGTAGTTGCTGCACCCAATTTCCTTTAGCCTCAAAGAGTCTTTTCTTTAGCCCATTGATGATCACCTTGTTGGCAGACTCGGCTTGTCCGTTAGTCTGAGGGTGTTCAACTGATGCAAACCGATGTGTGATTTTTAAGTCGGTCATTAATTCTTGGAACTTTTTAATCAGTAAACTGTGTTCCATTATCCGTGATGATCTCAGCAGGAAGTCCAAATCGGCTAATCAGGTTTCTTTCAAAGAATATTCGTATCCTTGCCGAGGTAATGGTGGTGAGGGGTTCAGCCTCGATCCACTTGGTGAAGTAGTCAACAGCCACTATCAACCACTTGAGTTGTCCTTCAGCCGCAGTGAAAGGCCCTAGTAGGTCCATTCCCCCTTTGAAGAACGGCCATGGTGCCGTGATAGTTTGCAGCTCTTCGGGGGGTGCGCGAAGGATCAACACGTGCTTCTGACATTGTTCGCACCTTTTGACGTGGTCCTTCGCATCTGCTTCCATGGTGGGCCAGTAGTATCTTGCCCTTAGTGCTTTTCTGGCTAAAGCTTTTCCTCCCATGTGGTGTCCATTTATGCCCTCATGTATCTCGGCCAGTACATACTCCACTTCATTCTTATTGAGGCATTTCAGCATGGGTGTATAGAAGCCCTTTTTGTAGAGTTGCCCCTCTACTATGGTGAAGCAGGCCGAGTTCCTCACGAGTTTTCTGGCTTCTTGCGTTTCGTCTGGCAGGATTCCTTTTTTCAGGTAGGCCGCAATTGCCCTCCTCCAATCCTCAGTCTCGGTTATCACCATGACGCAGGTCGGCTCCAGGATGCTCTGTTGTATTACAGTGCGGTGGTTTCCTAAGCCTTTCGAGCTGGCGAGTTTGGATAGGATGTCGGCCCTATTATTCTCATTCCGAGGTATGTACTGGATTGTTACCTCGTCAAACTCAGCTAATAGCTCCCTGACCTGTTGGAGGTACTTCATCATGAGAGAACCCTTGGCTTGGTATTTTCCTTCAACTTATGAAGTAACCAGCTGTGAATCACTCATTATTTTTATCTTCCTTGCTCCGTGTTCCTTTGCCTGCACGATCCCGGCAATGAATGCCTCGTATTCAGCTTGATTGTTCGAGGTCGGAAACGCTAAGTGGAGGGAGTGTTTGATGGGCACTCCTTCCGGGCTTTCAACGATCACCCCGGCTCCACTCCCCTTAGAGTTCGAGGATCCGTCGACATAAATTGTCCAGAGACCTTCATTCCCTTCTCCTTTTTCATTGGGCGGGGTTAGTTTCAGGATGAAGTCTGCCAAAGCTTGCGACTTAATTGCCTGTCGAGGCTCATATGATATGTCGAACTCGGAAAGCTCGACAGCCTAGTTGATCATCCTTCCTGCTAGGTCCGGCTTGTGAAGTACTTGCATGATGGACTGATTTGTTCGCACGATGATTTGGTGACCTTGGAAATAAGGTCGGAGCCTCCTTGTCGTGGTAAGCAGGGCGAATGCGACCTTTTCGAGCTTCTGGTAACGAAGTTCTGGTCCTTGCAATGTCCGACCTACAAAGTAGATCGGCTGTTGTGACTTGTCGGTCTCCCGTACCAGAGTGGCACTGATGGCCTCTTCCCCTACTAATAGGTACAAGATCAACGTTTCTCCGGGCTCTGGTTTTGACAACACGGGGGGGGTGGCTAAGCAATTCTTAATATTTTGGAACGCCTTTTTGCATTCTTCCCCCCATCCGAACTCTGCTTCTTTTTTTAGGAGCTTGAAGAAAGGCAAAGCCTTCTATGCCGATCTAGGCAGAAATCTGGTCAGGGCCGCATGGCGACCTGTGAGCTGTTGAATTTCTTTTTTGCTTTCAGGCTGTTTCATCTCAAGGACGACCTTGCATTTTTCGGGGTTCACTTCTATTCCTCGGTTGGTAAGCATGAAGCCCAGAAATTTTCCAGCTGGTACCCCAAAAGCACATTTGGCCGAGTTCAGCCTAATCTTGCAAGCTCTTAGCTGCTCGAAAGTCTCCTTGAGGTCGGCGAAATGTGTCGATATTTGCATTGACTTGACGATCATGTCGTCGATGTATACCTCCAAGTTTCTTCCGATTTGCACTTGGAACACGCGGTTCATCATCCTTTGATAGGTCGCCCTTGCATTTTTTAGGCCAAAAGGCATAACGTTGTAGCAAAAATTTCCCTTTTCAGAGATGAAGGCGGTTTTTTGGTGGTCGTCTGGATGCAATGGGATTTGATTGTATCCATAGTATGCGTCCATAAATGATAGCAGCTAAAATCCTGACGAATTGTCAACTAGCCGGTCAATGCTTGGCATTGGGTACGAGTCTTTTGGGCAGACCTTATTGTGGTCGGTGTAATCCACACAGATCCTCCACTTTCCACTTGGTTTCTTTACCATCACCACCTTAGAGAGCCACGTGGTGTACTGTATCTCCTTGATGAATCCTGCTTCTAGCAGCTCGTCGACGTGTTCACTTAAAGCTTGACATCGGTCAGATCCTATCCTCCTTTTCTTTTAGGACACTGGCTACGATCCGGGGTACATGGAGACCTTGTGACAACAGAAAGTTGGGTCTATTCCCGGGATTTCCGAGGCCTTCCATGCAAATACATCAGAGTTATCTTTTAACAAGGAAATGAGTTCTTTTTTGAACTCGACCTCTAGGGTCTTCCCCACCTTGGTACGTCCTTCACCGTCCTTTCGGATCTCGACGACATCCAGCTCCCCTTGGGGTTCTGGATGAGGTGCTTGGAGCTCCTCTCTCATATCCAGTTCGATCAAGTTTATCTCGCTTCCTGATGCCCTTAAGGACTGTTCCATGGCTCCTCCATCCTTAAGCCGGGGATGAGATGATGGGCCTCCTTGATGGACTCGCAGGGTCTCATAATAGCACTTTCTTGATTCTTCTTGATCACCTCTTATGGTGACAATCTCGTTGTTCATCCCAGGCATTTTCAGTGCTTGATGTTTGGTGGAGATCAGTATATCCCATTCATGGATTGTAGGCCGGCCAATGATCACGTTGTAGGACGATGAGGTGTCCACTACGACGAAACAAACCCTTCCAGCTCGGAACGAATCCTCCGTGCCTAAGGTCGATGTAGCCTTTCGGAGGGGACGCCGCTCCGTTGAACCCGACCAGCTCGGTGACACATGGTTTTAAGTCCTTCTCATCCAGGTTCATCCTCTGGAAAACATCCCAAAGAATTATGTCTGCCGAGCTTCCGTGGTCAATGAAGATTCTTTTAACTCGGCAGTTGACTAGCACTCCAGTGATCACCAATCCGTCAGTGTGTCCAGGTACGACCATTGCTAGTTCCTCCTGAGTGAAGAACAGTCTTGGGGGGGCTGGATTGTTGGCTTTCCCTTTGAAGGTCGGCCTGTCTCTTACGGACATGTCTTCAGGTACTTTCTTCTGGCGTTGGCCGAGTGTCCTCCCCTGCCTAGAGCTCCACTTATCACGTTGCATTCGAATTCGGCTTCGGGAAAGGCCTCGTCCTTATCATCGACCTCTTTGCCTTTGGAAGGTCGATCTTGTCTTTGATCCTTTCTATCCTCTCTCTTCGGGCTTCGACTTCTGCTTCGGCTTCTTTGCCTTCACTTATTATTTTTCTTTCCCTGTGTTCGGATGATATATTGCTTCAACTTTCCCTCTCTAACGTGCTTTTCAATAGCATCTCGAAGGTCCCAGCAGTCATCCGTGATGTGACCGTTTTGATCATGGAAAGCGCAGTATTTGTTTCTGTCCAGCCCGCTCTTGGCTTTGAGTGGTCGAGGTCTCTCGACGTTGTGCATCTCGGTCTGGGCCACCTCTTTCCATATCCTGGATCTGGACATGTTCAGGGGTGTGTAATCGTCATACTTCCTTCTTGGAGATCGATCGTCCGACCTCTTATCGTGAGAATCCTTCCCGTTTTTGGATCCTTTCTGGTCCCGGTCTTTGTTATTTTTCTTACTCGGGCTCCGACGTGTCAGACTTCGTCCTCGAGACTCAACGTAGACCTTTTGCATATCTTCCACATCAATGTATTTATCCGACCTTCGTCGGAACTCCTCCAGATCATTCACGGGGTTCTTATAGATTGATCTCGAAAGTGGAGAGTCACCATCTAATCCTGAGATGATTAAGTCAAGATGCACCGCTTCAGTTAAACCTCGAACCTTGAGGGCGGCATCCTTGAACCGGTCGAGGTACTTCTTTAGCGATTCATTCTCTTTATGCCGAATTCTTCTCAGAGCGTAGGCCGGCATTGGATGCACCTTGCTTGTTGCAAAGTTCAGTCGAAAAGTCCAGGCTAGGTCCTCAAACGAGTCGATTGAGTTCCTGGGGAGCCTGGTTATCCAGGTCATCGCCTGACCAGTCAATGTTGTCGCAAAGATTCTGGCCTTAATAGGTCCAGTGATCCCGTTGAACAACATCTCAGTCTTGAAAGCCGCTAAATGGGCTTCTGGGTCCTGACTTCCGTCATACGGAGGTATCCTGGTGCTCTTGAATCTCGGAGGTATAGCCAGGTTCATGAGCCTCTCAGTGAATGGACTATCATTAGCCTCCTCATCATCTAGGTAGTTCTCGTCATGGTTGTCGTTCGGGCCTCCACCATTCCGGTCGTTGCCGAAGTTAGGGTTCTGCACATTCTGTGTGTGTCCTTCAACTGTGGCCGCGTTCTGACGTCGTGGACCACCATCAACAGCACAACCATTTCTTCCAGGTTGGCCTTCAGCATTTTGATGTTGGAGGTCTTCAGCATTCTGATGTTGGACGCCTTCAGCATTCTGTTGTTGGACGCCTTCAGCATTCTGATGCCGAGATCCGTCGTTTGCGACCTGACCGGTTCCTCTGGGTTGGCCTTCCACGTTGCGATTTCTCAGTTCGGCCTCGAATGTCGCCATTCTTTGGGCATCTAGTCGCTGTTAGGTCAGGAATCTATTCTCTATCTCTTGCAGCCTTTGAAGGATTGCATTCATAGCCATCGAGGTCACGTCTCGCGGTGGCTCACTGTGTGGAGGTGGGTGAACTGAGGCCACTGTCGTATTGAGCTGGGTTCTGGGGGTCAGTCCCTGAGTGCCGACCTCGCCGACCTGCACCTCTACCAGCACCGGGTTCGCGTCCAATTAGAGTTGTTCCAATGTAGATTGGTGTTGAGGCATGCCATAAGGCTGAGACTGAGATTGATGCGGCAGCATTTGGGCAGTGCTAGACGTCGAACGAGTGTTTGTCATCGTGGAATGGGGGTCGAAATTTATCGTTTCCCACAGACGGCGCCAATGTTAGGTCCTGGATAAACCGTATTGCTATACCGGATGGTATGGGCTCAGAGATAATGTATATCAACTGTATAGTAGGCTTATAGCCGAGGTCCCAATCACTGCGCATAAGCAATAGGCTTATAGCCAAAGGGTGGGTGTGTGCACAGTGTGGGCAGTATTAGTAAATAGGTTGAATGTGTTTACCTGGGGTCTTTAAGCTCTTATTTATAGGATTACCTTCCTAGGCTTGGACCTTTTGAGCTCCCCCAGTTGCGATAGGATTCAACTCCCTTTCTGTTGGGATGTGATCCTCATCTTGTGCCCTTTGGATGTTCAGAGTTGTTGAGATGTTGGTGACTCTATATCTGGTTAGATATTCTAGTAGGTAGTTGGGATATGATATTCATATCCATAACAGAAATGTACTTATTTCTTTTCTTTATTGATGTATAGAGTTCCATATAACTAGATGACCCTTATATGAATGTGAATAAATAAGAATCCATAATCTATCCTACTTCTGTCTCTTCTCCCTTACTTTCTCTTATCTTTTTATCAATTTTTTAACACCCTCTGAGACCAAACCAAAGCAATCTAATTTTTCTAATCAACTCTTCTATAGTCGACATTCTCTATTTTCGAAAACCCTTATTAACAAAACAATCCAACATTAACTCTGGTGGTTCCGATCCACACGAACACCATTCTCTCCAAAATGCATCTAATTGGCTAAACAACACCCTCCGTCGCACCCACCACATCGACAACCTCGGCAGCAAGACCGACGCAGTGGTCGACTATGTCGATGGCAGAGGCCTGGCGAACTGGCAGATTGGTAGGTGCCAGGCGGAGATTCTGGCGCACCCGCTATACAGACAGCTGATGTCGGCACACGTGGTATGCTTGAGGAGCGCCACCCTGGTAGACTAGTTGCCGAAGATCGATGCTCAGCTTGCACAGTTGTAGAATGTGGTGACCAAGTACTTGGCTTTTGGACATGGAGCTTAGAACAAGGTTGGGGATGACAAGGAACTCAACCAGTTTAAGGCATATTTTATTGAAAAGCTAAAAGATATTATCTTGATCGTTTGATCTATGGAACACCTTGTCAACTTCATCATTCGGCCATCAAGGTATCAAATTTTTACCTTTCCCTCCTTCTCTTTCTTGGGATACTTTATGAACCATAACATATATGATATATAAACAAAGGTTTTATAAGAGTGATGACGTAGAAAAAAATAATTGTGTAATGTTATAAAGATTCGTTTTGCGTGCTATAGTTTTTTTTTGCTTCAAAAAGTGTGGGCCCTACAAAATGTTGTGTGTGTAGGAAAATTTTTTGTGTCATATTAAATGATGAATGCAAACCCAATAAACAAAACAAATAACATCTTGTGGTTCCTGGTTTAGAAGTTTTGGGGCCCACCTACTTTTTCACTTGAGTTTTGAGACTAAATATAGAATCAGGCTGAAGTGCCTGATGGGTGAATCGTTTAATAAACAATTCTCTTATTAAATATTTAACGAGGGACATTTCTCAGTATTAGAGAGAGAAAGACAGAAGCTTGATGAATTGTGAGAAATTATTTTTGAATTAAAAATCCAAATGAATTATTTTGGTCCACGTACAAATATACTAAACTTGAAGTTTAAAATATCATTACTTACAAACTTTAGCAAGATAAATGTCAAATATTTCAGATTATAAAGGAGTGACTAAGTCCCATTTCCCTACAGAAAATGAGCCACCTGTAGTAAAGAATTTAGTATGATCAAATTTGTTTGAGTTTAGTCAACATCAGAAGGGTGAATAAGGCGAAAGACATAAATCCGTGGAACTTTGTCTAGCTTCTCTCTAAGATTTTAAGTTTAGTCAATGTCAAATATTTCTCTAGCTTCTCTTTAAGATTTTTCTCTGTCTCTTCTCTAGATTTCTATATGAATTCTCTCTTAATGTTTTGCGCAGCGAAACTTTATCAATCAAGTAAGTCTTAATATCTGCTTTCTATATTTTTAAATTTCAGCAATTGTGACTTAGGAAATTATTAGTGACCTAGAAATATTGTTAGTGACCTAAAAAATTGTTAGCGACTTATTTTATGAATAGTGACATAAGATATATATATATATATATATATATATATATATATTAACTCATACATGTAAAATGAGTAATTATGGATTTTTACATGATTATATAAGATTAATTAAAAAAGAATCTAATTAATGTGATGTGAGTCACTTTTTAGATGAAAATACAATTAGGAAAAATTATTTGAAGCTTGTAAATAAATTAATGAGAGACTAATTTATGGTGTTTTATGAGATAAAAATATATGTTTAGAAATATCAAGTTTTGGCTAGAAAAGATTATAAAAATAAGGTTAAATGAGTAAGTGACCAAGTGGATCACATTGACCCAAGTTAATTTAAGTTAAAAGAGTTAAAACACTCCATGTTTTCCACCAAAAACATCACCCATCGACTTTCCTCTTCCAAAGAACCCGAAGAAGCCATTTTTGAGGGGAATAAAAGCTTGAAATCCATCTTGAGTTGTAGTTGACAAAATGACAAAGTTCCAACACCAAAGTTGTAGAGAATCTTAAGCTCATCAAAAACCCCCATTTCGTTTTCCATTGAGGAGCCCCGGAGAGGAAGATATCATCTCTCAAAGACAAGAGGGATTTTCAGAATTTTGGGATTTTGGAGTGGTTAGAGCTCATGGGAGCTTGAAGAATCATCCTCTAAGTACTCTAAGGTGATTTGTGATAAGATTTCACAATTCCTTTCAAGTTTCTATGAATTTTTTAAAATCATAGGTTTCCATGAATAGTAAATTCAAAATTTGATTGTTTGATGAGTTAGAGAGTGAATTTGTTATGTGTTCTTTTGTTCAACATGATTAGGATTGTTTCTTGATAAAGAAAAATATAAAATCACCATTAGGGCCTCTTTGAGATTTTAGACATGAAAAAGTGTTAAATCTTATAATATTTGAGGCTTGAAATGGTGTTTGATGGAGAATACTATTGTGTTTCATGATGTAGAGTTAATCCTAGTGTCACAGAGGTTGAAGAATAACCATCGGAATCAACAATGGTTCAAGAACAAGTTTCTTGAATTCTTACCAAAGAGGGTAAGTCATGAAAACGATGTTTAGGAATAGAATCTGGCCAAATACTTTATGTTTTTGTTGAACCATAGATTACCAAGACCTTGAAAGTGAATTTTTGATGATTATATAGCACTAACAAAGCAACAATCTACACAACATGGAAGGCATGGCAACAAGTTACAAATGACATTAGAAGACTAAGACAAAGTGCAAATATGAAAAGACTACTGAAATATGCAAAGTCAACCTAGAGTCAAAGTTTTCAAGTGAATAAAGGCAAAACAAGGCTCAAAGTACGAAGACCTTTGAAGACAAATGATGACTCATGTGTATACTGTTTGTAATATGTTTAGAGAGTCTTAAAACTAAAAGCAATAAGTTTATTGAGCTTTAACTTGAGGATTGCATATTATAGGCATAAACTCGTGCATGTTGAACATGCATACTTAAATCCTTCATACAAGATCACATACACATGGAAAGTTGTTAAAATGATGAGAGACATATCTTTACATGTGTTAGAAGTGATTAGGGATCATTTAGAAGTCACTAAGAACCATTTAGATCAAAAAATCAGCAAGAAAAGTTGTAATTTGATATGAAGTATTCAATTACTTCATTGAGTAATCGATTACTTGAGCTCGTTGAAGAAATAATCGATTACTTGATCAAAAGTAATTGATTGCCTCATTGCTTTGAAGAAGTAATCGATTACCATATGTTTTAAGTGACTTAAAGCTTAAGTCTTCAATATAATTAAATGTCCAATGACTATAAACGGTTAGTAACTTAATAGGGCACCTATGTAAACACTTCTTAAGGGTTCTGAAAAAAAGATTAACACCGAGAAACACTAGAACACACATAATTCGAATTGAAATCCCATTTGGCTTTGTTTTGCATATCTTTGAGAAAAAACTCAATTACTCTTTCGTTCCTTAATCTTTTTCTGATCTTTCTCTTGATTATGAACATGGGGAGGTTACCCTACATCTGTTTTAACGATTTGAATTGCTATAATTGATTAGATACAATTGGATTGATCCTAAGAGGCTTAGGATGAGTGTGATCAAGGTTTGATCACAGGTCATATAAATTTATCTTGTAAATTGGTTTCTCCAAGTACCGATTGGAAGCTTGATGATAGTGGAACGATCAACATCAGTCTAGATGTAGCTCTTAAGTAGATAGAGAGTGAACCAAGATATGTTACAATGTTGAGTAAATATCTTTTTTCGTCCCTGACAATTTTCACGAAGCCCTTTTTGGTCCCCAACAATAAAAATTGCTCATTTTGATCCTCAATTTTGAAAAAATAGTGCCACATTTGTCCATTTATTAGTTGCCATCCAACGGCTCAACTAACGGAGCACGGGTGGACTGTTAGTTTGCTGAGTCACTAATGTCACAAGCCACGTTGGATGAAAGAAACGACGTCGTTCTGTATATGCAAAGTGTAGTAGCTGTAGTTAAAAGCGGACGACGTCGTTTCTGTAGAGGAAACATCTTCAACACTGGTATCTTG